TCGCCCGATCGTCCGATCGTCCGTTCGTCCGTTCGTCTTCGTCCGTTCATCCGTTCGTCCATTCGTTCCTCGTCCGTCCGTTCGTCCGTCTATGCGTCCTTTCGTCCGCTCGTTCGTTCCTCCGTTCGTTCGTCAGACCTCAAAGGGTGTAATAAGAAATAATATGAAGTAAACTCCCTCACCCCAAACCGTAATGGACCTCGGGTAACCAGCTTCCACTGTTCTGTAGTCCTCGTCATAACGCCAGTATTTATCCCCTTTGAAGTAATACGTCTTTTGATTGCCTCCCCAGACAAAAGCCGCATCAGGGCTTCCCAGGGTCGATGGCAGACCTAGTTGACTGATGTCTCTTGGTCCTTCTTCTAAGACAAAGCCATAATATTTCCAGTATCTGTGAATTGTTAATGAATTGAAGATTCAGTAATTATTACAAATAATTAATAATAATACATATTATCGTTTGATGTATTCTTTTCTTCCTTTTCATTGGCCGAGATGTTTTGGTGTCTAGTATCGCTTTATATTTTTACTCGTTGCCCTACGGGCTCGTCAAAATACAGCGCAACTCGTGAAAATATACAGCGATACTACACACAAAAACATCTGATAAGATATATGTATTGTTTTAAATTTTCAGTTAACCTTTTTCCGGCTGTAAATATTTATTGATACTGGACATCCTGTTAAGACCAGTGTTCGTTAACACTGATGGTTCTTTCCGTTACAAATAAAGTATTTATTATTATTATTATTATTATTATTGTTGTTGTTGTTGTTGTTTATTGAGAGACCATCTGTAATAGAGTAGGGCGGTTTACACGAGAGACTATCTTTCATGGACATGTGACAGTTCAATGAAACCTCGCTCAAACCCAACCTTAAAGGTTCCTTCCATCAAAAGACTAAATATATTGTTTTATCTCATTTATAATTCAAAGGCAATTTAACTGACTTACTCGCTTCCTTTAACGAACACGGTCCTACCGTAACGATTTGTGTACGCGCTGTTTATTGGCGTTTTCAGTTCCATCCATTTAGATGTTATCTTTATGGGGCCGCTTTCTACGCTGAGCCTAACAGAGAGCACCCAGAAATAATCCCCACTGAACACGTACGTTCTGCCATCCATACCCATCAAGAATGAGTCAAACTTCTGCACTTGGCAAACATCCAAAACCGGTAGAGAAGTAGTGGGCTTCTCAGTGGTCGTTGTAGCCTCAGTCGTCGTCGACTCGGTCGTCGTTGTTGCGTCGGTCGTCGTTGTTGCGTCGGTCGTCGTCGTTGCCTCGGTCGTCGTTACTGCCTTGGTCGTCGTCGTTGTCTCGGTCGTCGTTGCTGCCTTGGTCGTCGTTGAAGCCTCGGTCGTCGTTACTGCCTCGGTTGTCGTTGTTGCCTCAGTCGTCGTTGTCGCCTCGGTCGTCGTTGTCGCCTCGGTTGTCGTTGTAGCCTCGGTCGTAGTTGTCGACTCGGTGGTCGTCGGAGCCGGAGTCGGTTTACCTACAAATTGAATGTCATATGTCATACCTACTCAAAGAATTTCATCACACAACTTCAGGTTTAATTTTGTATTGTTGCAAGGATATCTGGTGGGTAGTATCTTCCAGTATCTTCCAGTATCAATATCTCATGGAGTACCTTTTCACCACGCTTTCCCGGCATATCAGGCGATTTTAAACGAGCCATGGTTTGTACTTTGGCGAGACGCAGTCGGGCCCAAGCAGTCATGGTGAGACCAAATGAACCCTATGTGCCGCCGAATCGAAGCGTACCAAAAAGGTACGATTAGGGAATTATCGACTATATCAGGTCAGTGACTTGATATAAAAACAATAGCCTGTATTTGGCGCGGAAATATGCTCTGATATTTGTCCGCAAACATTTTCTGTTTCGAGAAGCGAACCTTTTCCGAGAGCGCAGCTCAAGGAAAACTATGATCTTCGAGGAACAGATAATGTCCAAGGACAAATATCTGAACATATTTTTGCGCCAAAAGGAGTCTATTGTGGTTATTATCCTTCAAATGTTTTTCGGAACACGGGCAGAATATCCGAGTAATGTTGCCCAGTTTTAGCTGGGGCACATTCAGTCACGTGACGCGTTAAGACCAATCTTTCGCAAGAGAAAATATTTAATGGTTTATAATGCAGAATATCAGGAAAGTAGACACGACTCCTAATTGCGAGTTTGCGTTCGGTAGAAAATATTGTGAGCACATTTTCTTTTACCTTGTCATTTAACAGCGTACCTTCATGTAAGTTGGAACTTATACTCACCATAAAGCGCCTGTATTCCTTGTATATCATCATAGGTAAGCTCGATATTTGGGAAATAACCTTTGTACCAAGGGTACATTATGGATTCCCGCACGTTAGAATGTTCCAGGCCCATGCTGTGTCCAAACTCGTGAACCGCCACCCAGTCCAAGTTGATGCCGTCGCTCGTTCCAGTTGTAAATCTTTCGTCGTCGTCGAAATGTGCGTCACCAGATAAACCTGAAACAATGAACATATAGATTGAATTGTTTTAAGATGATTTTCACTATCGACATGCCGATTGCCCCGATACCTAAATCCTGCCTTCCGTCGAAGCCTTGACTGCATAACGCTGAAGGATGTTTCGACATTTGAAACCTAGCCGGCATCGAAATAGCGAGAGAAATACAAGTCGCAGGTATTGACTCAGTCTCGTCTCCAGAGCAAGAGCGTTTTCGGTCAGGGGTAACCTAACGCCAGACGCCCTAGACGAAATCATAAACTGATACCATTCTCGTTCCCAGAGGCGGCGCTCGTTTTGGTCAGCACCAAGAATCGCGATTCTTGGTGCTGACCAAAAGGAGTGCGGCCTCTGGGGACGAGAATGAAACTGAAACCAGAAAATCCTCGTTCCAGTTTGATTGTGCACATTCGTTCAAGTTTAATCGCATCACCAGTTTCTGAACATGCGTAAAGAGAGTAACCGCTGCTACTAATTCTGGCATAACTTTCAATTTCTCCCAGAGGTATCGATTGCTTATCAGGACAGACTATTCAGTGCCGAGTTCCCCAGAGCTATTTGAGCCATCAGTCATGCGCAAAAGACAATAGCTTTGGGGTCGAGAATGCTATTGGCTGCGGCCGCACTAAGAGAGTTAACTAGGTTTATTTTGTAGAAACCTGGCTGGTTAAAAATTCTAAACAACTTAACTCGGTTAAAGGTTGGTTATAATAAAATAACGGGGTTATATTTTATGAGCGGCCGCACTGAGATGGGTTATGAAGTGGGTTAAACTCAATTGACGTCATCAGATAAACCAACAAAATGGCAGACTTCGAGGACCCTGTTCAGTCTGTTGTTATATTCTCAATTCTTTTTTTTTTCTTGTTTTCGTTTCCTTTCTCTCCACTCACGGCTAAGGCAGTCCCTCTTCCTTCTAATGCGCACTACGCAAATTTCTAAGGCAGATCTTTCAAAACTGATGTTAATTTCGCGTAGACGTCAGAGTGTTCTCCATCACCGTCGAATGAATCGTCCTCGAGTCTGGGTATATCCAAGAGACCAGCGATGGTTTGGGGAAATCCATAGGAATCCTGCCATGCATGACTTTTTTAGAGAGCATTTTCGAATGAGCTTCGACTCTTTTCAAGCCCTTTGTCGTATTCCGTCGCCATTTATGGCAAAAAGAAAGACTCGCTTCCGTGCAGCGCTGATCAGACTGCTGATAAGAGACCACTGACCTGGGTTAAAGCACGGAAAAAGGTGGTTTAAAATTAACCTAACCCTGTTATAAAATCTATTGTCCGTCGATTAATTTCCATGGTAACCGTAAACCCGGTTTAAGTTCCATGAACAGCCGAAATTAGCGGCCGCATCACTATTTTTCGGTAACCCGGTTAACCGTAATTAATTAATTAATTAGAAATAACCCGGTAAACTCTCTAGTGCGGCCGCGGCCATTGACACTAACCTTTGTTGTGATGTGGATAGTACGCATGCGCCAGCGTGCCTCCTGGACCATCAAATGAATACGGGTCACCGTGATACAGTCTGACAAATCGAATTAAAATGTCCACGTCATCATCCGGAACTGCTGGGTCGGTTTGTTCTCTTATGGTCAGCGTACTAGCCTCTGCCCATTTGTTGATCATTTTCCGAAGGATATCTCTTTGGAGATCTACCGGAAGATCGGGTGTGGCCGACAAGAAACGGTACGTAAGGTCCTAAGAAACAAGAAACGAAACATCGTTCACCGGCTTTGTCACTGAAATGTGTGGTTGTTTCAATAGCTTGTAAGTGTAGTGCTACTTACGAGTTCATAAAAAATGAACAAATAACTAATAAACAATCTACAACAAACGTTAATTAATAGTAAAGTTTATCGAATTTTTCAATCCCAGATCACAATATCATGATTCGATAGATGAAATGTAATTGACAAAAAGTCACCAACTATTCAACTGGATTGAACAAACTTGCATGGTCAATGTGATTTTCATATGCGTTACTTTTCAAACAGGGCAAGCGAGGGGGAGTTTAAGTCTGTATACAAGCCAAGTGGCCCATCAGGCAGGAGCTTATCCCGGTTTCTGTAGCATGAAGCGACTAGGAGTATTTCTACTTCCCCTGGTTGGGATGCTAGTCCATCGCAGGGTTACCCCACCACATTAAGTTCGCCGGTACCCATTTATCCACCTGGCTGGAGAGAGGCACTTTATATCGATAGAGACGCTAGGAAGGCGGCCTTTACCATGGTTTGCATTCTCGAAAATAACGAATTTGCCATGCTTATAGCGAGTGAAAAAATTGTTTCTTCGCAATGATTTTCCGGCTTTGTATAAACATCTTTGAATTGAGCATACGAAAAGTGCGAAAACGTTCAAATAAAATCCAAGCGTTTCGGGTTCCCTCAGTGGACAACGCAATGCATCATCACCAGGATAGTGATGGGCTCATGAATGTATAAAATGTCTTGCTGAAGGTTTTAAATTGTGCGCTCCTGATGTAGTCTATGCCAGACTTAAATTAACCTGTCCGTCCTTTGCATCCTGCGATGGTAGACCAGAATTTATTTTCAAGTCGGTGTATATATAAATCACTAACCTTTTTTTGCCATCTAGTTCCTTGAAGGTAATAACGTTTTTTTCTTCTTTTAGCCGCACCAGCGAATTGTTCTTCATCTTCTTCGTTCAGGTTTCCGCATCGAGGAATGACAAATAGCTTCCTGGTTTCTTCATCCAGTTCTCCAGTTTGTTCTAACCCAGCCCTAAACTGCAGCTTTGAGATGAGGTCCGTGAAATTAAAGGCTGCTCCAGATTTTTTTATCCTGTATTTTTCCAACCAAAGCTGAAAAAAAGAAAAGAAATTAAATTTTCTTTATATTATCAAGTTAAACTGTTGGATTTATTTTCAGACACATACTCATTTAGTTTTTTTTTTTTTTTTTTTGATGAAGGAAACACTCGTTGACCAGATCTTTACCTCATCAAGTACTACATTTTTATTTACAGTTTATTTTTAGGTTTGAGGGTCAACTTAAGATGAGGATTAAATTTTGCCGTTTTTCCCCTAACCCCTAAGGAATGATCAAGATTATGATGCAAACTGTCACGAACGGTAGAATACAATAAAATATTTTCGATAAGGGACCTAAAACAATGAGACAATAAAACAAAAAGCTTTGATCTAAACAAATAAGTTGGCTTGGATTAAATCATACTGTTCGTTCAAACTTCAGTTTAGTGTTAAAAAGATATTTATACCAATGTTGTATTTATTACTCGCCGTCGAAAATGACCTCGGAGGGGTCGAAATGTGGCTAAATGTAATTTAGGCGAAGTTAAATGCTAAACAAGATTGCTGGCCAGCAGTCTCCCTCAGAGTGGGTACGGGGTGGTAGGGGGGTGCCTGGGTTTTACACCTGGGCCTCGGATGTCAAATCGTTCCGCGTGTTTTTCGCTGCTGGATAGTTCTCGTTAAGCTTTTCTCCAAGCCCACCCATCCCCCTTTAGCTTCATAGAAAGTATCCTGTGTTTCCACTGTTTTTTTCAGTGTGACGGTGCCTGATGGTTGCCGCTCACAAGGTTGTCATGGATACCTTACGCGCTCAATTTAGTTTGCTCTCGAGCTCCACCATCCCTTCAGGCAACACTCCCCAAGCTCATCGATTGCTGATGAGTTTAAACGTCGTGACTTTTATAATAATAATAATAATAATAATAATAATAATAATAATAATAATATTTAGTGAGGGAATCCAACTCGCCAAAGGCGGTTTCAGTGAAGCCCTCCTAAATAGAAAATCACCTAAAAATGACATAAAAAATGACATTGCTAGTTTTCATTGCAATGTTTTTGGATAAAACGCAAATAAAGTTGTTGTATCAAATAAAAAAAGTGGCATCTTTAATTAAAGGGTCACGTAAAGATCGAATCACACTCGGTTGCCAAGTGGTCTCTTTTAGGGATTTCGACCACATAAATTTCCAGACGAGGATCCTTGATTGAACCCTCGCACAAAATCAAACCGCACAAAATTAAACCGCTTTTTGCGTTCTTCACGCAAGGATATCTGCGTTGGAGGTTTCGATTTCCTTGCGATCAGTTACCCCCGCTACTCCTAACCTGTCACTATAGCTATCCCGTTTGCAAAAGGAAAGGCAGGAGCTGTTCGTAATCTACCTTGAATCTCTCCCGCGACTTTCCAACTCTTTTCAAAAAACAGTCCAGTCAAACAATCCAGCTCAGTCGATAAAACAAAGACTAGTTATTCCGAAGACATAAGTTCGAATCCCGCTACAGTAAAATATGTTTTAGCTTGTGGAGTTCCTAATTTCCTATCGTAGAGCTATAGCTGAGAAAAAGTTTCAACCGTGGGGTACTTTCTACGATGCGATTGTCGGAACTACCCCCCCCCCCCCCCTAGAGGAGTATCCCTCTGGCGAAAATCATTGTTTATTTTCGGTGTTGATTCCCGCAATCTAAATTAGTGTAGGTAATCGTATAAACACTACTCGTGATATTTGAAAATTCTCTCAAAATTTTCAAATGTCACGAGTAACTCAATTGCTCGAGCTTTCAGACGATTACACATTCATTGTATGACGGTGACAATCACGAGGGCGCGCGCGTTAATTTGCACTGCACTGGAGGTTCTCAGACAATCAAAGCTTATTTTCTCAGTTATATAATAAATAGCTAAAACGTCTGGTCTTGATTAGTCCATAACTATTGACTGTTATCGCTGTCATCGCAATAAATCTTAACACAGCGAATGATTTTTAAAATCTCGACAGAAAGCATTTTTAATGTGATTGAATTCACGATATCAACAAACAAGTCGCTTAATCGGATTTGTAGCAATAAGCTAATGAATTTTAAGATGCGTGGCTGTGGCTCAAAAGAATGCAAAAATATGCCATTGAAAAGAGTGCAATGACACTCGATATTCACCCCCCAAGTTCATCAAAATTCCAGGCTCTCAAGCTATCGAAAAAAGAGAGAAACACGCTGAAGTTCTTCAGAAAAATAGTTTAAAACATTTTTTTCTTTATTTCTATATTTATTTATTTCGTTTACTTTTAGCTTGCGCGTTCCTCTCCTAAAGCTCTTGCCAGAAAAATCTTCTAGATTTGACGTTCAATTTGTATTGCCGAGAAAACGACCATTCACCGATCAATTATCGTCAGTTAGCATAGTCAGACCAAAGACGTTTTTTATGCGATTTTGTTTTTGATCGACCCCCTCGCGTGTTGGCTCGCGCGCGGCTTAAGACGCGACGGTATGCTTTTCGATAACAAAAGAGAGGGTCAGTGGACTAGCCTGCGTTGCAGCCGAACGTGTCACAAAATAACTGGTATAGTCGTACCAGCGATTTAGACTGTCTGCGACGCAGGCTACAGTGGACAGATTAAAGTAATCAGCATGGTAAAACAATTTAAACCCTAAGTGGAAACAGACTCTGTTCCTTGTTCCTTGAGTCCCCTGGGCATGGCGTGATTCCGGGGGGACCTCCCCGAAAATTTGGGTGGGGATGTCATTGCGATATTCTCAATTCCCCAAACCTGGTTCAAACTTGACCCAACCTAGAAACTGCTTCGGTTTGCGTAAACATAAACATCGTCTCTTGGTTCTATAAATCTACCTTTTTATTCAAATCCATGTTTTAGAAATTCATGTTTTACAAATCCTCCTTTTACAAAATCCATGTTTTATATTTACTTTTCCAAATCCATCTCTAAGAAATCTTTTTACGAATCCGTGTTTTACTGGCAAATCCTTCCGCGTTACAAATACATGTTTTAAAATCCGGTCCTAGACTTACAAATCCAGTCCAATCTCCTTTTAAAACATACGCGCCATGTCGCGGGAACCATTGTCATGGCAGTCAGCAAACCACGAGTTAAAACTGAAGATTTGAGCATACTTGAAAATTGTATGGTTAAGAGAAAAATTGAAGAACAAATGGTGATTTAATCACTTCTACTTAAACGCGCGGAGTCGTGAGAACATCTGTGCATGACTATCTGCTACATGACTTATGCTTGTTTTAATATCACACTGTCATCGTGTTACAAGGACTGTTTGCATGTTTTGAGGACTTGCCGTTGGCACGGAACGTGTGCACTCGAAAATTAAAATGGAAAAGTCATGACTCACCTCTGCGACCGAATTGTTGACGGCATCGATCTGTGCTTGTGATGGTTTGCTTGGATCGGTTGCGATGGGTGCTGCCGAGCAAGCATTGAACAACAAGGTCAGCAACGAAGCCGTGATGACAAGCCAAATTGAAACAAAACTTTGAAATTTCGTTGTTGTAGGGTTCATTTTTTCGTCATTGCTGGTGTAAACAGCTCGACGTAGCTTTCAGACCTTTTTTTGTCCCGCGGAAAAAGCAAGTTATTCTTCGAAGAAAGCACTTTTTTGTGTCCAAGATTTTCAGTCTTTCACACGCGGAGAGCGAACACAAACAAAGCACATTTTGTAGTTACTTGGCATTTTTAACACGTAATATGACCCGTGTCTCGAGGTGACAAAAATCTAAACAGGAATTTATTAGAAATCACATTAGCTACCTGTCTGGTCATACCATCCAAACCGTACGTGCTTTCTTAAAATCCCGCGAGACTCTTGTAGGCTCTTTTACTAAGATTTTTTTGTTTAGAAAACAAATATTCAGGATTTTCAGATCTCCAAGTTGCCGTGCTTAATTGAGGACACAGCACTAAAAAAATTACTAAAAAATTGAAAATAAATAAAAACTGAATTTTCTTTTCCTGTGCGTGTCTTCAATAATCTTTCCTTCCTCTTTATGTCACCGATCCTTAATTGAAACACTAGAGGGCCAAGGGAACAACTGTCGAACTGAAATTGCTCACTTCAGGCCTGGTGCATTGGCAAAGTTATCTTTAATGATTAAAATTGTGCGTCACACAGGATTTCCCCCATTCGTTCCGTGCAAAAAAACACATACATTTTACTCTTGTTATTTTATGATACCAACCGGCTCAGATCCGGTTTCTGACGACAAGCATACCAGCGGAGACTGCCACGATTCATTCCGTGTTTTATCCCCCGGTATGAGGGGGTATTCCCGTAAAATTCGAATGCATGTGTACGTGTGCCGCAAATGCGTGGTTTTCGGCGGAGACAAGCGACAGCCGGAAATACGGTTGCGTTCGCAGGCTACGCAAATGGTGACGCAAATAAAAACTGATTAAGGCCCAAACCCGAAAAATGACATCCTATTCAACTAAGAAAGGTCTAAAAATGACGTAAACCGGTCACCTTTGTTTCGTTTCTGCCGTAACATTGGAAGTTAATTCAGTTTTAACAGATCATTTGTTTCTCGTTTAGTTAAGCATTTGCACACTGCAATTTTAGCTGATACAGCTTAGGTACCCTATCACCGGGTACACCGGGTCACAATGCCAAAGCAATGAAACAAGATATGTAATACGGTGGTATTATTATTATTATTATTATTATTATTAT